TCCCCCTCTTGCCCACGGGACACAGGGGATGGAGTGTGCCCTGCTGCTGCCCCTGGCCTACAGGCAGAGCACTCGCCTACCACACTGAGAAGCCAGCCAGTCACCAACTACATTTGTAAACACTGAAATTGAGCCCAAAGGCGTTCAGCTGTTCTGTGGGTTTTCTCTGTAAGATCAATGGGACTTGTCCCTACAGCTGTTTGCAGCTATTTCCATCTAAAGTGGCAGACGACCTAGCTGGAGAGCATGCTACAGATCAGCTGGGCCTTGCCCTGCTGCTGGGACACAGGTGGCCTACAGGTGCCATGTATGTGACACACACACACAGGAAGCTCATGAAAGTCACTGACTGAGGTCTCCATGTGGAGAATACCCTGTAGGATGGGGAAGCCCCCACCCCCGAGCTAGTAGAACGCCCCCACCCCTCAACATAGGACCTTTTCTCCTCCCCAGATCAGAAGTAAGAGCTTCCCCTGCCCCAAAATCACCACTGGTATCCTGGAGCTAACAATCATCTGCACTCCAGCCTCACCCCGGTACTCACTGGTTCTGAGCAGCATAGATACTGGCCAGCTTGAGAGACATTTCAATGATGGCATTGTCATCCTGTCAGGAGGGAGAGGAAGTCAAAGGCACATTAGAGGGGGCAGCCACAATCACTCCTCTCTTTGATCCTTACAGCAGAACCACTGCTTCCTCAGAGACCAGACGCAGGCCAAGATAATGCCCTATACATGGTGTAAATGAACAGCTACCACCAGGAGATGCTGCTTGAATGGCAGGGAAGCTCACTGCCACTCCAGTACCAGCAGCTCCCCGTAGGAGGCGCTGTAGGGAATGGTGCAAGGCCACATCTTCCCCAAGCAAGAGGTAGTGTAAGGAATGCTACAGCAGCTGTGGGGACCTCACGCCCAGCAGGAAGCCTGTGCAGAGAAGCCCTTACCTGCTTCATGTCCCCAGCCAGCAAGAAGCTCATTGCTGCTTTGAAGAGCTTCTCTGCCTGAAACAAAAGTGAAAGTATATTAAAGAGCCAGCGCCCAGGTTTAGCTGGTGCTAGGTAGGGCATCTATGCCTGAAACTGGCCTTAGCAGAATTGTTTAGCATAACCCAGCTGTGAGCCATAATACTTAACATTGTAGGCAGCCCTCTGAAGATCTCAGACACAGTACAGGGCTCTTCACAGACTCAAGTGATAGGACTTTACTCACGCTGTCCAGCTGACCCCTCAGGAACGCAAGGTTTGCCATCTAGAAGAGAAGGAGAAAGCGGTCAGGGATGCCGAAGCTTCACCACGTGAGGCTATTGCTGACCTTGGGCTAGCTTTGCACAAAGAGGTTTCCCCCTCTTTTTACCTGCAACTTCCACCCAGCAAAAACATGTTACCAGCTGCTGAAATTACTGCCCAGTGGAGGGCAAGGGAAGTAATAGGAATATAAAAACAAGACTGCAAGGGAGTCCAGGCCCCTGCTACCCCAACCAGCCATGTCAGACAATCCCAGTCAAATGTATCAAGCTCAGAGGTTTGAGCCCATGCTTGGGACAGAGAGACCGAGACCATATCCATGGCAGCTGTGAGGACCCCTGTCTCACACATAGCTTTCCTGGGAGTATTACCAGGTCATAGGTATAGATGATGGCTTTCTTGTTGTCCGACTGATGGGAGAGTCTGACGGCTTGGTGCAGAATCCGCTCTGCTTCCTCAAGCTCCCCCTTCATGATGCTGAGCTGGAAGCGGAGAGAAGGGAAATTCTACGATGATTAGAGATCCCAGCACGTGGGAATGCTGATCCCAGTGTACCGGCAGGCCAAGCAAGGGTGTCACTGTGCAGGTGAACACATCTGTGCCAATGCTGCTCACAGGAGCAGAGACAGAACAGCATAAACTGCCAGATGCTGCTCTGATCAATGTCATGGGAAGAGCAGTTCATCTCTGCCCTCCTTATGGACTCCTCAGTGCTAGCTGATACTTGGACTCCCTCCCCCCATCCATGCCTCCAAGTGTCTGGACTGGCTCATCAATAGGATGCATGGCTGAGAGTGCTGAGTTCATCTCACAAAAGGCCTCCCGGTAGGCTCTCGCAGTGGAAGTGCCCAGCAATTCCTCACCAAACCAGCATGCTTATTTCACTGAAGTTAGTGTATTTAGTAAGAAAGCTACGTAGGTAAAAAGTTGGGGGTCCTGGTCTGCGACTAGAGTTCTTGGGGCTGTGCAAATGCAACTAATAGTAATCTAGGGCCTTGTGAGCTTACCTTGGCTTTCTTCAAAAGGAATATAATGGTGTCTTCAGTCCCAGCACTGTCCCCTTCCTTTGTCTCCTCCTCTTCCTCAGCATTTTTAGAGAACAAGGAGAAAGCTGGGAAGAGAAACATTTGACAGGATGAACTTGGATCTCGGCTGTGGTGACAGCTGAGAGGGTTTTGTCCTTCTCTGCCATGGGGAGCATGGACTTGGGAATCCCTTCAAACAGCAGGTTCAGCTCCACTGCTTGGAGTCACCCACCCAGTGCCACTTCCACCCCACTGTTACTTGTAACAGCCCCCCCATTTCCACTGCACTCACATGCAAGGATGTATCCCATACCCCACAGTGCCCTGGCCCCATCACCTTCACCCCTGAGACTTCCATCTCACGCCTGCCCCCTTCCTGCTCCCAGCCCAAGTTCCATATCAGCTCCCCTCCCATTCTGCCCTCCCCTCCTGTACCTACAGGCCAGGCACCGCCTCTCCCCACCCTGACTCCCAATAATCTCCTCACTTACCAGTCTCCTCCAGCAGCCACCTCTGTCTGCCAGGTCCCCCCAGACCCTCACCTACCACTCCCAGTAGGTCCCGCTGCCAGGCCCCCACCTACCAGCCCCCCAATGGTCCCCAATAGCTCCTGTGCCATCCAGGCCCCCAATAACCTCTCAGCCCCCAGCGACCCCCAATAACAGACCCCCTCAGCCCCCGACCCTCCCAGCAACCCCCAA